CACACACACACACACACACACACACACACACACACACCCACACCCACAAACACAAAAGACGAAAAAGAAAAGAAACTGAAAATGAGATTGCACGATCGCGCGCCTTAGCTCCTCCCCCCAACTTCCCACAAACCCTCTCCCTTCCCCCTGCTCCCCTCTCACTCTCTCCCTCTCTCTCACACACACACAAAAACAAATATGAAAAAGAAAACGAAAAAGACAGCCGAGCCACGTGGCATGCCTTTACCCCCTGCCCTTCCCTCAAATGGTGCACCCATCCTCCTTTCCCCTGATCCCAACTCCCCACAATGGCTGCACTTCTCCCCACAAATGGCTGCACTTCTCATTTGCCCTGACCTCAAATCCCAGACTGCCACACCCATCTTCCCTTTCCCTTGACCCGCCTCCCTTACGGCTTCCTCTCCCTCCCCACTGCATTATGATCCCTGGTCATCCACCATCATCATGTCCGGCTCCACTTCTTCACGATGCTGCCCTGCCTATGCTCCCTCCCCAAACCAGAGTCAGGAAGTCGAGAGAAACAAAACCACTATTTCCTGCTCCTCCCCTTCGACCTCGCCCCCCCCCCCCCCCCCCCCCCCCCCCCCCCCCCCCCCCCTCTATCTCTCACACACGCACACAAAATAAGAAAACAAAAAAAGGAGAAAATGAACAAAACGATCAAGCCACATGGCTGCGGCATGTGGGGTGTGCCCCCCTCCCCCCTGACTTCCCCCAAAACCTCCCCACACGGCGAAGCATGTGCCCCTTTACCCACTCCCTTCCCTCAACTGACGCACGTGTCCTCCTTCCCGTGTCTCGATATTCTTATTGATGTAATTATCAACTTACCTTGTCCTCATAAATCATGTCCCTTGTCTTTCGTCTTCCTCAGCATCTTCAACGTTGTCTTCATCAAAAAGGGTGGATATGGTGGGGTGCTCTCTCTCTCTCTCTCTCTCTCTCTCTCTCTCTCTCTCTCTCTCTCTCTCTCTCTCTCTCTCTCTCTCTCTCTCTCTCTCGTGTGTGCGTGTGTGCCGCCGTTAGTGTGTGCGTGTGCAGCCATGTCCGATGTACACAACTCCACCGAAGGAAACAGATGCATGCCAGACTGTTCCGTCGAACTTTCGCCAACTCATCAGGAGGTTGAACCCCTACAGTCTGCCGTCTCCCAGAGCGGAGGTGAGCGCAGGTGGAGGAGAAGTGACGGAGGCGGAGAGGAGATGGCAGGAGGAGGTAGAGACGGAGGAGAAGTGGCGGAGGAGGAGAGGAAAGAGAGGAGAGGAGATGGCGGGAGGAGGCAGACGGGAGGTGGGTGGAGGCCGAGGGGAGATTGGTGATCCCAATGGCGGGAGGGAGGTCGGCAGAGGCGGACAGGAGGTCGGCGCTGGCTGTGTGGAGGAGGGCGCACACCATTTTTTTTTTTTCGTAAGGACGGGCAGAACTCTCCTTGTCCTCGTACATCATGTCCCTTATCTTTCGTCTTCATCAGAAAGCGTGGTTATGGAGGGGTGCTCTCTCTCTTGTGTGCGTGTGTCTGAGCGTGCCCCCGTTAGTGTGTGCGTGTGTCGTCATGTTTGTTGTGCACAACTCCACCAAAGGAAGCAGGTGTGTGCCAGACTATTGCGTCGATCTTTCACCGACTCATCAGGATGTTGAACCCTGACAGTCTGCTGTCTCCCAGAGCGGAGGTGAGCAGAGGCGGAGGACAAGTGGCGGAGGCGGAGAGGAAAGAGAGAGAGGAGATGGCAGGAGGAGGCGGACGGGAGGTGGGCGGCGACCGAGGGGAGATTGGCAATCCCAATGGTAGGAGGGAGGTGGGCGGAGGCGAACAAGAGGTCAGTGCTGGCCGGTGGGAGGTGGGCGCGCACAATTTTTTTTTTGTGTTTTGTTTAAAGGTGGGCAGAGGGATGGCGGATGTGCGAGCAGCGGAACGGAGGCCAGAGCGGAGGCGAACGGAGGTGGAGGAGAAGTGGGCGGAGGCAAAGAGGAGATGGCTGGAGGAGATGGAGAGGAGGTGGCGGAGGCGAAGAGGTGATGGTGGGAGGAGATGACGGGAGGAGGCCGACGGAAGGTGGCGGAGGCGGAGGAGAAGTCGTGGAGGCGAAGGAGAAGTCGCGGAGGCAGGGAGGAAAGCGAGAGAGGAGATGGTGGGGGGAGGCGGAAGGGAGGTGTCGGAGGCAGAGAGATGATGACAGGAGGAGGCGGGCGGGAGCTGGCGTAGGCGGAGGAGAAGTGGTGGAGGCGGGGAGGAAAGCGAGAGAGGAGATGGTAGGAGGAGGCGGATGGGAGGTGGCGGAGGCGGCGAGAAGATAGCGGGAGGAGGCAGACGGGAGGTGGCGGCCCTGCAATGGGCCAATGCGCCGCCCTGCAACGGCCCAATGGCCAGCAGGTGTTGGGTTGATTCTTTTACAACGGGCCCTGTTTTTCAACGGGCGCCATGATCCAAGCCGCCCGCGGTCCTACCGGGCCAATGGCTAGGATCGTCCCGCGATCTTAAGACTTTAAGATCGCGTGACGATCCAGGGCGGACGGTTTGGATCGTCACACGATCTTCTCTATACTATTGTACTATTGGGAACTCCAAAGGGCCCGACATGACGCTTCCCAGCGGGCCCAAAGAAAATCGGTGCCACATGTCAGTCCCACCACTGGGGGAACGTTTTGTCCGCAGGCCACAGAAGGAGAGAAGTGAGCGCAGCGGTTCGTCTCCGCCGACAGCGCAGGAGTCTGGCGGTCAGCAGTCAGCTGGTCATTTTTGGGTCGTAGTCCAATGGTCGCAGCAGGAGCGAAGTGAGCGCAGCGGTTCGTCTCTGCCGGCAGCGAGGAAGTCCAACGGTCAGCAGTCATCGATCGCGCGCGCGTTCGGTGGTGCACGTAGCGCCCGAGAAGGGTTTGCATGTGCAGGTAGCACGCGAGGAGGCTTTGCGAGAGAGAGAGAGAGAGAGAGAGAGAGAGAGAGAGAGAGAGAGAGAGAGAGAGAGAGAGAGAGAGAGAGAGAGAGAGAGAGAGAGCACGATAAGCACCAAAGAGAGGCCTGCTTGAGCACCAAGGAGAGGTCGTCGAGCACGAAAAGTCCGAGCACCAAAGGAGCGAACACGATGAGCACCAATGAAGACGAAGCACGGATCCATGATGAGCACCGACCATCAACACCAAAGACCCACGATGAGCACTGACCACCAAAACCACGGATCGAAGATGAGCACGAATCCAGGCACGGATCCCCGATGACCAACAGGTAAGAGAGAGAGAGAGTTTTCCATCGATGGCATGAGCAACGCACTGGCCAACACGTAAGTCTTCAGCCCCGCGACTGGCCTTACACTACACACACACACACACACACATGCGCGTGTGTAGTAGTGTATATTTCCCCGCGTCTGGCCTCACACTGTACACACACACACACATGCGCGTGTGTAGTAGTGTATATTTCAATGATCTAGCGGAAGGTTCATTCGATTTTGCTCATCGTATCGATGGAAGTAGCGTGAGGCCAGCCGCGGGGTTGGAGACTTACCTGTTCGCCGGTGCGTTGCTCAACCTTTCGATGGAAAACTCTCTCTCTTTGAGGCTCATTAGACACTCCTTGGGGCGTCCTCGGGGCGCAAGGAAATTTCCTTGGGGGTTTTGAAGGAAATTCCCGTTGTCGTTTCACCTATCCTTGGGGTGGCCTCCCAAGGATGATTCCTTTCGGTCGTCGCCGGCCATTTTCATAATATGATAGTCAGTCGCGGGGGGGGCAATGCCTTGGTCCATTGGGTGATGTCCGTCTTGCTACGGTGTGGTGCAACTGCCGAAGGTGGGAAATTTTGAAAGGCACTGACAACCGGGAAAAAAAAAAAAAAAAACTTAAAAAGCAATGGACCTCCCCATTCGAAAATCAAATTTCAAATTGGGTGTTGGATGTCACGACGGCGACGCGGGGCAGGTGGCATCCATATCTGTGACGATGGAAACGGGCATTTGCAGCGGTCCAGTGGAGTCCTCGTACGTCGTCACAAATTTGTGAGCGCCCCGCGAAGGTCCATCACCATCGCCTCTGCATGCTGCCGCGCCGATGTGTCGAGTCGAGCACACGCAGTAGGCTGTTGTATTTTCCTGGTTCATGAGCATTGCAACACACATGCCGATCGAAGGTGGGAGCGACGACGGACGTGCGAAGTTGACGACGATTGAGAAGACGGTCGTGCTCTTTCGTTGTTAGCAGGAGAGGGCATTGGGCAGAATGAGAGCGCAGATCCGCACGCGGAGGAGGAAGACGGTTCATCAAGTCCCAGTCGACGGGCTGGATACCGTGGCCATCACCGAGGCTGCAGTTCAGGTTTGTTGCGCCATGGGTTGCAGTGTTCTTCCATGAGCGACGTTGACGTGGTGGATGAAAAGGAGGACAGGGAGGGTGTGGGAGGATCTCAGGCAATGCGATGATGCGACGGAGTACTTCTGGGAGAAGCTGAGTATGTCGCCACGTGTCTTTCGGGCAATGGCGATTGCATCCAGTGTGGACGAATCCGTGAGTGTGACCTCCGTTAGGAACGTCTCGTCACAAACAAGGCGAGCGTCCTGAAACACCCGGATGTGACGCTTCAGGTCGGCCGGTGCAGAGGACCCAGACCATCTGGAATGGGTGACGCGGTCTAAGGCGTCGGTGGCGTCATCACGAGCGCCGAAGCGGTCCTGAAGGAAGGTCGCAAAGTCGGCTAGAGTGGGGACCTCACCCACGCGGAGGCGCTGGGTATAATGATCCTCCCACGCAGTGGACGGACTGCCTCGCAATTTGGTTGCAAGCACATCGCACCACTGCTCCCCACGAGTGGTCGTCACCGAGAGTGTGCGCGTTGCTATCTGCAACCAGCGAGAAACACAGGATGTGCCATCATACTCGGGAATGTCCGAGGTGCGCACAAGAGGATGTCCATTGTGTTGATGGCGGGGGGAGAGAGATCGAGGCGAGTGCACTGCGGCGGCGTAAGTCGGGGCCACTGCAGGGGCAGAGGTAGGGGCAGGTTGTGGGTCGTGGCCGCTGGCGGATAGACGAGGAGGCAACGGTCGTGGGAAGGTGTCCCGAAATGGCTAGGTAAGAGGAGAGAGGCTGAGGAGCCGGTCTAGGGAAACGAGCCGGCATGATGGGGGTCGAGGAGGTGGTAGAGGAAGAAGAAGGGTGAGCAGCCTGTGAAGGGTGAGGCTGTCTCAGGGCCAAGATCTCCGCCTGAGCCTGCGCAATGGTGGCCTGTAAAGTGGCCACTCGCACGCGATGCGCTGCCGATGTCGATGTCGACTGCAGTCGGTGTCGATCCCTCGTCTTCTCTGCTGGAGGCCTTCGATAGAGGATGGCCATCAACGATAGGGGAAGCACACATGGAACAGGAGGACCACGGCAAGCAAAATTGTGACTAGGAGCAGCAGTGGCAACCTTCAATAGAGGTCGGCCATCAACAACACGTACGACAGGGCCGTAATTCTACGACGACGGTGAAGGTCCACCGAACGGCGACGATGAAGCGAGCAGATAGAGGACAGCATACGACACACGCACTCTCACGGGTCGTACGCCCTTGCACTGCGAGCCGGGCTGTGGCCTGCACAGTGGCTTCTGGAGTGGTCCACTAAAGACCTGCTCTTCACCTGCCGCCCGTCCATACCGACATCCTTCTTCGCAGACCGCCTCTTACGTGCACGTCCAGGCACCCTGTCGAGGATGCAGACGTGGAAGAAGAGGACAAGGACAAGCAAAAGGATGACCAGGAGCAGCAACGGCAACCTTCGAAAGACGTCGGCCATGAAAGGCAAGTGCGGAAGTGTAGTGGCTAGACGACGACGGTACATCTCCAGCAAACGGTGACGAAGAGGCCTCCAATACACTGGGCAATTGGGGCAAGGGGGGTCGGCTGAAGTATTCAAATTTGTCGACCGTTCAACCCCTTTCCGTTTGGCGGGACGCACTACGAGAGAGAACACTGGTCCACGACGTCCGCGGGGGCCAGCCGGCTTCATCTCGAAGGATAGGTGGAACAAAATTTTCCTCGGGGGATTCACACGCCCGAGGAGTGTCTAACGAGCCCCCTTCTCTCTCTCTCTCTCTCTCTCTCTCTCTCTCTCTCTCTCTCTCTCTCTC